GCGCATGCCTTTAATTCCAGCACTCGGGAGGCAGAGACAGGCGGATCTCTGGTCTACAGAGGGAGTTCCAGGACAGGCTCCAAAGCTACAGAAAAACTCTGTTTCAAAAAACAAAAAATAAACAGTCAAAAAAAGATGGAATAAAGGATTTTGAAAACTCTCACTACAAAATAGCTATACGTGCTTGAAAAAGTGCTATTCTGCCTGATGGTGGTGGCACACGTTTTTAATCCCAGCACTCCAGAGGCAGAGGCAGGTGGATCTCTGAATTTGAGGCCAGCCTGGTCTACAGAGTAAGTTCCAGGACAGCCAGAGCTACACTGAGACCCTGTCTCAGAAAAAAATAAAAAAAATTATAGAATGTATATAAGCATTAAAACATAGTATGGTAGCAGGTGTGGTGGCTATAACCCCAGCACTTGGGAGAGGGAGGCGTGAAGATGATCTCTGTAAATTCAAGGTCAGCCTCATCTACATAGTCAGTTCCAGACCAGTCAGAGCTACATAGAGAGAACCTGTCTCGAAATAAAAAAAATAATACATAAATAAACAAGGAAACAAAGCAAAACACACCACATGATCCCTGTATTTGCTACTTTTCATATTGGGGGGAGACAGTCCTTGACAAAGCAAGTTAAGGAAGAAGTCCCTGGATACAGTCTGTTATGATAAGGAAGCTATGGTGGACAAGCTGGCCATGGTCACTAGTCACATACTGTGGTGCTCAGTTCCCTGTCTCCTTTTTATTCAGGGCATGTCTCTGCGCCTTAATTAAGGTAATCTAGAAACTCTCTCAAAGATATGCCCAGAGGCTTGTTTCCATGAAGACTGTAAATTCCATCAAGTTGATAATGGAGATTTAAACTTCTTAGTGTCCATAAATATGTGTAATTTTCGGTGTCACTTTAAAAGTATATATATTTTGTACATTAAATATATATGAAATCCCTAAGTATAAAAACCCAAGTAAGTATAGTAAAAACATGTATAAGATGCTGTAATTTAAAACTATAAAATAGGAGGCTGGAGAGATGGTTCAGAGGTTAAGAGCACTGACTGCTCTTTCGGGGGTCCTGAGTTCAATTCCCAGCAACCACATGGTGGCTCACAACCATCTGTAATGAGATCTGGTGCTCTCTTTTGGCCTGTAGGCATGGAGGCTGAACACAGTGTACATAATAAATAAACAAATCTTTAAAAAAAACTATAAAATGTAGCTGAGAGGAATTAAGAAAGTCAAATAAATTTAAAATATTTTCAAAGAAATATAATAAAAATGTATAGGTTCAGATAGTCATATGAAAAAAATTTGCCTATTGATGTCGGAGGTGATATATGCTGTGAATATGTTTTATTGCCATTGGTTAGTAAAGAAACTGCTTTCAGTTAATGGGTTAACAGAGTAAAGCCAGGCTGAAAGAGATATATAGAGTAGGTGGAGTCAGAGAGAAGACATCTAGCTGCCAACAGGAGACAGATGACCTGGAACCTTGCTAGTAAGCCACAGCCACAAGGCAATACACAGATTAATAGATATGGGTTAATTTGAGATATAAGAGTTAGCCAGAAATATTCTTAAGCTATTGGCCAAACAGTATTGCAAATAATATAGTTTCTGTGTGATTATTTCAAGTCAGGGTGGTCGGAAAATGAACAAGCAGTCTCCATCAACAATCTATACTTTATACTGTAACATGAGGGCTGGCTTGTTAGGGTTTCTGTCCTGCCCGGTACCCCACAGCTGGCAAGTCCCAAAGAAAATCACACAGAGATCTCTATAAGTTATAAAACTGATTGGTCCATTAGCTCAGGCTTCTTTTTTTTTTAATTTATTTATTATGTATACAATATTCTGTCTGTGTGTATGTCTGCAGGCCAGAAGAGGGCACCAGACCTCATTACAGATGGTTGTGAGCCACCATGTGGTTGCTGGGAATTGAACTTAGGACCTTTGGAAGAGCAGGCAATGCTCTTAACCACTGAGCCATCTCTCTAGCCCTAGCTCAGGCTTCTTGCTAACTCTTATATCAACCCATTTTTCTTATCTATATTAGCCACATGGCTCGGTACCTTTCTCAATGGGGCAGCTCACATCTTGCTTCTTCGGTGATCTGGGCTGAACTGCAGAGGGAGCTTCCTGCTTCCCAGAATACTCCTGTTCTCATCGCCCTGCCTCTACTTCCTATCTGGTTGACCCACCTATACTTCCTGCCTGGCCAATCAGCATTTATTTAAAACATGATTGACAGAATACAGACAATTCTCCCACACCATTATACTGTGTCCAAATTAACTGAAGGTGGGTCATAGCCACAATGATGAAAGAACAAAAAAGTTTTAATAAAAGCTTCTAAAAAAGTATTCCCTTAAAATTAGGTGATGTAATTCAATTTATATTTTATTGCTGACATACTGCTGACAACCATCTGTAGCTCTAACTCCAGGGATCTGATACCCTCTTCTGGTCTCTGAGGGTGCTGCACACACATTGTGCCCATACACATAAAATAATAAAGCTTATAAAATGGTAAAATAGTTTCTGCATAATAGAATAGCTCTGGGCATCTTTATGTTTTAAAATTACATCTATTTGTGTGGGTGCAAACGTGGAGATCGGAGGCCAACTGTGGCAGCTGGTTCTCTCCTTCCACAGTGAAGATCTCGGGGATCCAACTCAGTCAGGTTTGATGCCAAACAACTTCACTTCCTATGCCATCTTCCTGGCCTTGGCCGTCTTAATATTAAGATTTCAAAGTTATTTTCTTGTGCCTTTTACTAACCTATGACCTACTTACAAACATTTGTATTCCAGAAAGAAACTGTAAAGCATGAGATAAAACATGTTTAAAATGAAAGAGAAGTTTCAAGGTCAGTTTGGTCTACAGAGTGGGCTCCAGAACAACCAGGGATATTATGTAGAGAAATCATGTCTTGAAAAAAAAAAGAAAGAAACAAAACAAAACAACCTCCAAACCAAAAAAAATGCCAATAATCCTAGTAGGCAGAGTTACATGGATCTTTTGTGAGTTTGAGGCCAGCTTGATTAACACAGTGAGTTCTAGGATAGCCAGAACTGTATAGTGAGGCCTTGGCTCAAAATAAGTAAATAAGAAGTGATAAAGTCAGTCTTTCCATTAATCCCATCTGTATTATAGTATTATAACAACCACAAAAAACTATATACACACACACGCACAACATTGGGAAGGGTCTCGTGCAGTCCAGGCTGACCTTGAATTCCATCTGTAGCTGCGATCACCTCCAACGTCGTCCTCCTTTCTCAGTCTCCTTGCTTGCATTCTGAGACCCCAGGCTGGGCTGTCACCCAGGGTTTGGGGCTTCCGTGCTTTAGAAGGCACTTTCACAGATAGCTGTGTCCTCTGTGCTGAAACTCCCTTCCCACCACACTTATGGAATCTAGTAGACTCCGGAAAGTGAGGAAGTTTTACAATATCCACGGGACCTCCCCAGGGTTATAAAGGCAATAGACAATTTTGGGGAGAGGAGACCACCAGGGAGCTGGCGCCAAGCTGTGCAGCGAGCGCTTGGGTCTCTTTTCTTCCAGCAATTGCTTAACAGCAGCAAGAGCCCCTTTGCCCTGTCCCCAGTAGAACATTATTGTACTACTGAAGTTCTTAGGCAAAGATAATAGAAGACTAATTTCACTTATGTCTATATAATCTCATTTCAAAGCAGTTTGTGGTATCTCATTTGATCATTCTTAGGAACCCCCATTGTCATATATGTGACAGAGAGGCGGAGGGAACAGCACCAAGAACTGGAGTTCATCCTTGGCTACTCAGTGACCAGGTGGTGGTGGCTCACACATGTAATTCCACCACTTGGGATTTCACAGAGGCAGGTGAATCTCTGAGTTTGAGGTCAGCCTGATCTACAGAGTGAGTTCCAGGACAGCCAAGGCTACACAGAGAAACCCTTTCTCAAAAAACAAAAACAAAAACAAAATAAATAACTAAATAACTATAAAAAAACCCCTATAACTCCCTAAGCCAAAAATTCTACATGGCAAACAAATGAAGGAACCAGGCTTAATACCTGCATAATTCCAGATCAGGGTTTCATATTTACTTAATGCTACCACATGTACTATATAATACCTAAATGCATATTGCCTGTACATTAGGTTGTTACCATTCTAATGTCTTAAAAGATTTTATTTTTAAGTATGTGTATATTGTATGTGTTGGAAGATGCATGTGTGTATAATGCCAGAAGAGGATGGCGGATCCCCCAGAAGTGGCGTCACAGGTGGTTTTGAGTCTCGCAGTGTGGGTGCTGGCAACTGAACTCAGGTCCTCTTCGAGGGCAGTATTAGCTCCTAATCGATCAGCCATCTCTCTAGGCCCTGTCACTCTGATTGGCCTCAAGTCCGTGAAGAAAGTTAAACGTACGTTTTCATCAGGGTTTTCACTGCTGTGAAGAGACACCAGGAACGCATCAACTTTTATAAATAAAAACATTTAATCGAGGCTGTGATACATTTCCTCCAACAAGGCCACATTTCCTAATTGTGTCACTCACTGCCTTTGGGGGCCGTTTGCTTTCAAACCCCAGCATAGTTATGTTGTAGGGAGAGGGCCCACTTGTTCCCGGCCTCCCGGCTAGCTTAGCCCCAAAATAACCACTCAGAAATTATATTAATTAAATCACTTCTTGACCCATTATCTCTAGCCTCTTATTGGCTAACTCTCACATCTTGATTTAACCCTTTTCTATTAATCTGTGTATCGCCACGTGGCAGTGGCTTACTGGAAAAGATTCGGCATGTCTGTCTCTGGCGGCTCCATGGCCTCTCTTTCCTACTCTGCCTCTCTTCCTCCCAGCATTCAGTTCTGTCTTCCCCGCCTACCTAAGTTCTGCCCTATCAACTAGGCCAAGGCAGTTGCTTTATTCATCAACCAATGAAAGCAACACACAAACAGAAAGAACTCCTACACCATAGTTGGCTTTCTTTATTATTCCAATTCCATGATTCCTGTTCTAGAAGCTCTAACTGTAGAGAGAATTACTTTTGTGGAGGTGTTTTTTCACTCCGGGAATTCACCCCCTTTCTAACAATATCTACTAAATGTAAGAAACAAACAAGTACAAAGATAATGATATGGGCTTTTCCTTTGAAGAACTCAAAATTTAATTGTATTTAGCCATTCATTAAGAAAATAGAAGACAAAATGGGGTAAGTACCGCTGTAGGATTTGTTCCAGGCAGACAAGGGAGTACTTCTGAACAAAGCATGGAGCCTCAAATCCAAATAAGAGTTAATGGTCTAGGCTGGGGAAATGGCACAGAGGGAAAAGTGTATGCTACGCAATCCTGCAGACCCGACCTTGGTTCCCAGTGGCTATGTAGAAAGCCTAGCACAGTGGTATGATGCAAGGCAGAGACAGGAGGATCCTAGGGGGCCAGCCAGAGTACCCACATTCAATATGCAAACACCCACAAGGCAGCTCACAACTATCTAGTTTCAGTGGCTCAAGTGCCCTCTTCTGGCCTTCAGAGGCAGTAGATATGCAAATTGTTGCACAGACATACCTGCAGACAAAACACCCATATACATAAAATAGTAACAACGAAACAAAAATATCAGAGCATTTAAAAATCTCTAAATAACAAGGTTGAGAGCTAGATGAAGATAGAAAAATAACTGACATTGACATCTGGCCCTCACTCATAAATCCAACACATACACACACACACACACACACACACACACACACACTCACTCAACATACATTATACTCTTCTTTCTGTTACACTCTAGCCTAGATTGACCTTGAACTCATGGCAGTATTCCTCCCAAGTGCTGAGATTACAAGATTACATGCATCATCATACCTAGCTTCCTACCTTTTCTTTGTTAGACAATGTCTCACTGTGTATCCCAGGGCTTATTTGAAATCACAGAGATCCACCCACCTTTCTCTCCTGAGTGCTGGGAGTAAAGGCATGAGTCACCACCACCAGGCTGATTATTTATTTTTTAATGCTTACGTTGTCTATTTTCATCACTAGTATTGATGTATAAATATCAAATTCCACTACAGGGCAAATCTACCAACACATATTATGCACCAATGATGTATCGAACTCGACACAAAAATGTATACAAATGTATAACCTGTTCCAGGGACATAACTCACCTGTAAAAAGCTTTCTGTGTAAGTGTGAATACTTGAGTATGATCCTAGCACCCAGGTAAAAAGAGCTGGGCATGCTGTTGAACATTTGTAATCATAGTGCTGGGGAGGAAGAGAAACGGGATTGATGGTCAGGCAGCCTAGCCTATTTGGTGAGACCCAAATTACTCCCAGCAACAGACTGGAGAGAGGCTGGAGAGATGTCACAGCGGTTAGGAGCACTGTCTGCTTTTCCCAAGGTCTTAAGTTCAATTTTCAGTAACCATACGGCAGCTCACAACTGTCTATAACTCTAGTTCCAGGGGATCTGACATTCTCACACAGCACTAATAAAATAAACGTTTTTTTTTTTTTTAAAAAGTGCAACTAGAAATGGGATTGAGTTAAAAAATCAGAGTTGTATCCTTTACAGTTAGTTATCTTAAAATAATTGCTCTGAATTAAAGGCATTCCAAATTTTTCATATTTGTTATCTGTTTTAAGGAAAATGAAGCAGACAGACTCTATCTCAACAGCCTGAAACTGCGTTATAGGAACAGTGAGGGGCTCCAATCTTTCCTGTGGGATGAAGGCTGGGTACATTTAGAGGGGCTGGGGGACATGTATATACACACACACACCTGTAGCAAACTATCAGGAAGTTACAACTTTTTTTGTGGTTTGACAGGAACCCGGGTGGGTTGCTTTTAATAGCAAGGCATACTGTTCCTGTAGGTGGAGGCGAATGGTCAGTCTATGCCAAGCAATCTTCTATGGCTAGGGGGGCTATTGCCCTATGTAGCATGACTCAATTTCTCATGACCCTAGGCTATACATTGTGTGTAGGAAACAAATCATCAGTTTTAAAGTTTATTTATTTATTTATTTATTTTTGTGTTTTGTTGAGACAGGGTTTCTGTGTTGCTTTGAAGCCTGTCCTGGAACTAGCTCTTGTAGACCAGGCTGGCCTCGAACTCACAGAGATCTGCCTACCTCTGCCTTCCGAGTGCTTTGATTAAAGGCGTGTGCTACCACTGCCCAGCTTAAAGTTTATTTTTAATCATGTGTATGTATATACCACATCTCTGTGTGACTGCATGTGAGTCCAAGTGCCCAGAGAGGCCAGAAGAAGGTGTCAGAGTCTCTGGAGTGACAAGTGGTTTTTAGACACTTTATGTGTGTGCAGGGTACCAAACTCAGGTCCTCTAGAAGAGTTTTTTTTTTTTAATGGCTGGGCCATCTCTATTGCCCACCTTCCTTCCTTCCAAATTATGTTCTTTTGAGACAGGGTCTCACTTGATGCAGACACAGCTCTCACCCCATGGGGATAAGATAAGATGGCTTGTTTTGGAACCAAATAGGAGTGACCATGGCTTGAGAATAAAGATTCAGGTTACCTCCATGCTCCAGTGTGGTAGCAGTCCCGTTTTATAGTACCAGAACAAAGAAAATTAGAAAGACCAGGGTGGCCGCAAACTCAAGAGACCTATCTACCTGCCTCAGTCTTCCCAGTGTCGAGATTAAAGGCCTGGGCCGCCACACCTGTCATTAACGAACTTTGCGAATACATTAGGTGTGTGGGCATAGAAAAGTGAGGAAATCATAGCTAATAGGCCTCTTAGGAACTTCTGAGGCCTTCATGAAGGTGTCTGGACATTCCAAAAGATTCACCTAATAGTTACAAAGATGTTGGGTCACTTACAGAGCTGGGTACTAAATAGCTGTCTGGGAGCTATCTAGGCTCAAGACAATTAGTGTCTGGGACTTGAAATATTCCAACCTCTCCACAGCACTGAAATTCTAGTCAATCAAGTATCAGCCTTTGTAGTCAAAGCTTGTTCCTGGAAACTCAGTCTTATCTGGATCTCATATTCCGGAAGCTCAGGCTGGAGCAGAACCTTCCTTATCTATCCTAGCCATCCAATGGCTGGGATTTCAGACGGGAACCACAACACTTGGCTTTAAAATTTAAAAACAAACAAAATCCAGAATGGTTTCCATTAGTAATATATCCTGAACAGCCACTTTCACTTCTTTTGTGGAAATCAAACCAAGGTCCTTGGTCATTTCTGGGCTGTGCTCTGAGCCACTGAGGTGCGTCCCTTAACCCTGGAAAGTCCTTATCTTTTTACTCATCTAGACGTAGAGTAGGCTGAGTGTGATCTTTTCACAGACTGCAAGACTTGGATAAAAGTCACCCCTAAACCCTCAGACACTACTCCTCTATTTTGCCTTTTAAAAAATATATAGTATTTTATATGTGTGCGTGTTTTGCCTGCATCTCTGTGGAGCACAAGCGTGCCTCGTGCCTGCGTAGGTCAAAAGGGAGCGTCATGTCCCTGGAACTGGAGTTAAGGATGGTTGTGAGCCACCACGTGGGTGCTGGGAACCAAACCTAAGTCTTCTGCAAACACAGCAAATAAATCAACTCCTGGGCGGTCTCTCCATACCCTCTTTGGCCTTAATGAAAAGCCTGGGCCTATGATTTCCTAATAAGAATCACTCAGCAAGTGAACGGTCTCAGTTGCTCGGGAACAAGAGACTTTCGGGCGGCACCAACGGCTGCTTCCAGGATGTCTGCGGCAAGGAAGGGCCGGCAGGTGGCCAGGCTCACCTTGCACCGCAGAGGCGCAGGCCCTCTTAGGCGGGCTCTGGCACTCCTGCCAGCGGGGCTGCTCTGCGCAGGCGCGGCAGCAGCGCGACGTCCTCACTTACGGCCGAAGCGGTTCGCGCTGAGAGTCGGTGGCGCCGTGCAGGGCACTTAGGAACCGACAGCATTGGCGCTGGTAATCAGCTCCCTGACCTCCTCCTCCCACTGCTAGATCCTCGGGACGACCTCCGAGCTTCGCGATGCGACGCGGACGGCCAGTCCGTGGACCGTCCCAGCCCGCGCGTCTGCTGCCCGCGGGGGTGAGGGGCGGGGTCCCGGGCTGGGCTACACCGCATCCTGGCGTCTTCCACTTGAAATCTCCCGGGTAACTAACTCGCGGCTCTTCTTGTTTTGCAAGACTGGTATCCGGTTGATTGCGGTTTGCAGGGTCCGCCATGGAGTCAGAGCAGATGCTGGAGGGACAGACGCAGGTATCAGGAGGCCCTTGGATTCAGAGTGGCGGAGTGTAGGGAGGCAGCGCGGAACGGGCGGATGTCTCTGACTCAATTTTGTTTTCTAGGTTGCAGAAAACCCTCACTCCGAGTACGGTCTTACGGACAACGTTGAGGTAACTCGCCCAGTTCCTCTGCCGCCTCTGTGGGTCTCTTGAGAGCCGGAGAAAATTTAGGATCCGTTTACTAGGCTACTCTGCACGAGGGAACACTTGGCTGCCGTGATCTCCGTAGGATCAGATTATAAGCGGTTTCTTTTACTAGCATGCCAGTACTTGCCTAAAAATAAAGGTACTTTGTAAATGAATGGCCAAATTCCGGAACCAGAGCTGGGTAGGTTTGGTTAGGAAAATAGAGGTTTCCTGGAGAAAATTTGTGTGTGAATAGGAGACTTGCGGGATTAAGTTTGGATTAAAAATAAAAAAAGGGGGGCAGGAGCGTTTCTAAACGTTTGTTGTAGAAACAGGTGTTAATATTTATTCGACGCTTTGCTGTTTGTGTGATACACACCCGACCAATTTGGATATATCTTTAGCCCCAGAATGCTTAAAGTTTAGTAACTTGGTAACTTGTTCCAGGTCACTAGCAAGTAAGCTTAGAGCTGTTTTCTTTTCTATATTTATTATTCTCTCTGTCTCTCTCTGTCAGTGTGTTTGTGTGTGTAAGTCAGAGGACAACTTTACACAGAGTCGGTTTTTTTCTTCCACCCTTAGATGGGTTCTGGAGATGGAACTCAGGTCATCAGGTTTGGGTGTAGCAAACCTTATCCACCTAGAGTTTGTATTTCAATGTTAGGTTGACTTTTTTTTTTTTTTTTTGCAAAAGAATTGCATTTTATTTATGTGCGCGTTCTCTCTCCCTCTCTCAATGTATATGCATATGTTTCTTTTCTTTGTTTTTGGAGATAGGTTTTCACTATGTAGCTCTGACTGTCTGGAACTCACTATGTACATCAGGCTGGTCTTGAATTCAGAGATCCACCTACATCTGCATACTGAGTGTTGGGATTAAAGGCATGTGCCATCATGCCTGATTTATGTATTTTTTTAATACTTTATTTTATGTATATGAGTCTTTTACCTGGGTATTTGTTTTTCATAAGGAGATGGTGGCAGGTCTTCTGAAACTTGAATTACAGACAGTTGTAAGCTACCGTGTGTGATGGGAATTGAATCAAGGTCTTCTGCAAGAGTGAGTGGTTCTCTCTCTCTGTTTTTTGAGACAGGGTTTCTCTGTGTTGCCCTGGCTACCCTAGACCAGGCTGGCCACAAACTCAGAGACCGGCCTGCCTCTCCTCCCGAGTGCTGGGATTAAAGGTGTGCACCACCACTGCCCAGCTAGTTCTTACATTTTTTTTTTTTTTTTTTTTTTTTTTTTTTTTTTGCTTCGTGTTTGACAGTGTTTTCTGAGCCTTAGTGGGAGTTCTAAAAGTCCCATTTAGGGCTGAGTACTAGCACTTTAATCAGTTCTGAGTCTTCATTTCTTGCTGACCCCTACAAAAAGAGGTGTCTCTGACCAAGGCTGAGAGCTGCACTAATCTATGGGTAGAAACAGAAATATTTACACAGTTTAACAACATAACTTTTTAGAAAAACAACAATAGTAGGTGGCTCGCTAGAGCTATGGCCTCCAGAGCGATATAGACTTTTTTGGCCAGGTTTATGTACCAAGCAGGCATGTGGAGCAGGCCACACATCCAGTCAGAAAGTAGTAGGTTACCCCCATATACCATCATACCACTTTAACATTATTGGCTAAGTCTTGCCTGACAGGTTGGTATTGTGGCTTAGGGCTCACTGCTGGGATAAACTGATTTATTTTTAATGGCCTTGCCAGTCTATGGTATATATATAATATATAAAATATTATTTATTTGTATCTTGTTTGTTTGTCTTGGGATTTTTGAGACAGGGTTTCTATATTGTCCTGGTTATCCTGTAACTTGCCATGTGGACTGTCTGTGATGACTTTGAACTCTCTGGGGTCTGCTGCCTCTACCTTCTGAGTGCTGGGACTAAAGGTGTATGCCACCATGCCTGACAATATATATTGTGTCTTGATCTGTTTTGTAGATTGATTTTTCTTTGTTATAGATGTTTTATTTCTTTTTTTAACCTAGTAATTTCTTTCTTAAAACATTACTATTTTTTAAAGATTTATTTTTTTTATGTGTGTGTATGCCATATGTGTATTGGTACCCCTGAGGCCGGAAGAAAGTGTCAAATCACCTGGAGCTGGAGTTTCAGGTGGTTGTGGGCTTTCTGATTGGAGTGTTGGGAACTGAAGTTAGGTATCTTCAAGAGCAAGAAGTAGGAGCTGGAGAGATGGCTCAGGGGTTAAGAACACTGACCTCTCTTTCAGAGAACCCGGGTTCAATTCTCAACACCCACATGGCGGCTCACAACTGTCTGTAATTCCAGTTTCAGGGGACTTGATACCCATGGCAAAACACCAATACACATAAAAATAAATAAATACATAAATAAGAACATTATATTAAGAGCAGGAAGTGCACCTTTTTTTTTTCCCCAAGATTTTTCAGACTGTGTGTGGTGGCACACACATTTAGAATTCTCAGCTCTGAGCTCGAAGTGGGAGCTGGGAGCCACAAGTCTTTAATCCCAGCACTCTGGAGGCAGAGGCAGGTAGATCTCTTGTGAGATCAGCCTGGGCTGCATAGTGAGTTCCAGGGCAGGACAACCAGGGCTGTTACACAGAGAAACCTGTCTTGAAAAACCAAAAAGAAAAAAAAAAAAAACCAAAGGGAAAAGAAAAGAATCTCCAGTTTTAGGGAGGTAGAGACAAGTGGATCTCTTGAGTTCTAGGTCAGCCAAGGGTATAAAATAGAGATATTCTCTCTCTCTCTCTCTCTCTCTCATCTCCAGTTCTAAGGAGGAAGAGGTCGGTGGATTTCTGGTTTTCAGGACTACAAAGGGTATAAAATAGAGATAATCTCTCTCTCTCTCTCTCTCTCTCTCTCTCTCTCTCTCTCAGGGTATAAAATAGAGATAGTCTTTCTCTCTCTCAAAGGGTATAAAATAGAGATAGTCTCTCTCTCTCTCTCTCTCACACACACACACACACACACGTACACACGTGCACTTACAGTTTGACCAAAAGTAACTTGGAGAGGGAAGGGTTTATTTCATCTTACTACTGTAATCAGCCCATCATTTAGGGAAGTCAGGGTAGGAACTGATGGAGAGGCCGTGGAGGGATGCTGCTTATTGGCTTGCTCAGCCTGCTTATAGCACCTAGGATCAGCAGCCCAGGAGTGGCATCATCTGTAATGGGTTTGGTCCTCTTATCAATCACTAATCCAAAAAGAAAAAAAAAAAAAAAGCTTCCCAGACTTGCCTATGAGCCAGTCTGATTGGGAATTTTCTCAAATGATATTCTACTAGCCTGTGTCAAATTGACATAAGAGCTAGCCAGCACAGTGCATGAGTGCTATGCCTGCATGTATGTGTGTGTATTGCAGGCGTGTTTGATGCCTATAGAGGGTAGAAGAAGGGGCAGGTCCTGGAACTGCTTGTGAGTCACCATGCAGGTCCTCTGTAAGAGCAGCCAGTGTTCTCAACCAACCACTGAGCCCCTATTATTATTATTGTTTGTATGTGTTTGGAGTTGATTCTTCCTACCTTCTACATGTGTTCTGGGATTTGCCACAGTGAGTGCCTTTACCTACTGAATCATCTCATTGGTCTTGCCCAGGAATATTTCTTTTTTTTTGGAGTGGAAGACAGAGTCTCACTATGTACGTAGCCCAGTCTGACCTTGAGTTCACAGATAGATCCTTCTGCCTCTGCTTCCTACCTGCTGGGTGAAAAGGCATGTGCCACCATGCCTGCCCTCACTGCCTACTGATTTCTCAATACTCTGCTGGGAACTGTGAATTTTACTTTGTAGAGTATTAGATATTTTGGTATTTCTTCAAACATTCTTGAATACTGACTTTTCAAGGCTTGCTTCAACCTTTGTCAGGTAGGGCCAGGCTAGCAGACTTTAAGTCCAATTTCATTGTCTCGAGTATTCTATCTAATGTTCCATGTATTTTTGAGGTGTTCCCAGAGTGTGTGAGCTGTGTAGATGTCCCTGTGCCTTCCAGGTGACTTTCCTCACGGTTTCTGGCAGCTGTATCCATCTAGACGCTAAAGCAGCCTCACTGGTCGGTTTCTGCACATCTGTGTGTCCCTCCTGCCTGCGCAGCTTTCTTTCTCCTTGTAGTGCTCCGCTTAGTTCCTCTCTGATGCTGCTGCATCCTGTGAGTTTTCTTAGTAGCAAGCAGGGAGTAATCGTAGGGTTTACCTCAGTTATACCCCCTTTTTGTTGTAACTATAGTATACTGTAAACCCTCCTAGACAGGGTTTCTCAGGCTGGCCTTGAACTCACAGAGAACTGCCTGCCTCTGCAGTGCTGGGATCACTGGCGTGCACCGCCCCTGTAATAATTCTTTTTGTTTTTGACCGTAAACTTGACCTTACTCTCTCTTCTATTTGTCACAGTAGTGCACTGTGATCGTTCTGTCTTTGTGTTTGGTGGTCTATCTGTATTGTGTATATTTAATCCATGGTAATTGACTGCCCCTTTTCCTGATGTGACAAACTATCTCGACAAAAGCAACTCAGGACAGAAGGGTTTACCTTGGTTCGTAGTCTTGGGGTTCAGTGCATCATGTAGGGAGAGTCAAAATGGGGCGCTTGAAGTAGCTGGTCATCTATGTCCACAGTCAGAAGAACGCTGCAAATGCTCCCGTCCAGCTAGATTTCACCTCTTGAAGCAGCCAAGGACTGAGGTCCAGGACTGAGCTGTGTGAAGGTTGCTGCCCCACCCTCCTTATCCTAAGAAAAATAACCCCTGCATGTGTGCCTACAGAATGACTTAATTTAGATAATCCCTTCCAGGTGCTTGGTGTCCTATTTCTTACATGATTCTAGACCATGTCAAGTTGGTGGCCAATATTGACTGGCACATTGACTTAACTTAAGCATAGCAGTTGACACGTCAGTGCTTGAGTGAAGTTAGTTAAGGGCGGTATATAGGAATTGTTTATTTTGGTAATGATTTATTTAAAAAGTTTTAGTTGTATGTATGTGTATGTGCCTGTAGAGGGGTTAGGCCCTCCAGGGACTGGAATTACAGACATTGTGAGCATGTGAGCTGCCTGATGTGGGTGTTGGGATTGCATTCTAGTCCTCTGAAAGAGGAGTACTCACTCTTGGTTGAGACAGGGTTTCTCTGACTGTCCTGGAACTCACTTTGTAGACCAGGTTGGCCTCAGACTCACAGACATCCACCTGCCTCAGGCTCTGAGTGCTGGGATTGAAGGCGTGCGCCCGTACTGCCCTGCTCCTTAGCACCAAGTCATTTCTTCAGCCCTCTTAAACTGTATTTTACATTTTTTTTTGAGATAGTTTCTCTATGTATCCTTGGCTGTGCTGGAATTCATAGAGATCTGCTTGATTCTGCCTCCTGAATGCAGGCATTGAAGGTACCCCAGCTCAGTGCCCCCCTTTAAAAGATAGTTATCTGTAGCTCACGCTGGGTTTGAACTTGCTATGTAGCCGAGAATGATCTTGAATTCCTGATCTTTTTGCTTCTACCTACCAAATGCTGGGATCACAGATATACACTACCATACCTAGTTAATGCAGGGACTGAACCCAGGACTTCATGCATGTATATAACCTCTCTGGAATTGCTGTTTCTTATTGGAGACATTGTAATAGCTTGTAAATGAGTAGTCCTTTTTTTTTTTTTTTTTAAATACACAAATACTCTGATAAGTTAGGACTGTGAGCTGCGCTGTGGTGGTGCACGCCTTTAATCCCAGCACTCGAGAGGCAGAGGCAGGCAGATCTGTTCGAGACCAGCCTTGTCCATAAGAGCTAGTTCCAGGACAGGCTCTAAAGCCACAGAGAAACCCTCTCTTGAAAAGCCAAAAAAGGAAAAAAAAAAAAAAGTTAGGACTGTGTTCTTCACTACAATTAAGAAGAATTTGTTGGGCTGGAGAGATGACTCAGCAATTAAGAGCACCCATTCCCAGCACCCACAGGGCAGCTCATAACTGCCTATAACTCCAGTTTCAGGTGATCTGACACTTCACACATGGATACATGCAGGCAGGCAAAACATGAATACACACAAAATAAAAGTAAATTTTTTTTGATTTATTTATTATGTACAGTGTTCTGCCTGCATGCGTACCTGCACCCCAGAAGAGGGCGCTAGATCTCATTATAGATGGTAGTGAGCCACCATATAGTTGCTGGGAATTGAACTCAGGACCTCTGGAAGAACAGCCAGTGCTTTTAACCGCTGAGCCATCTCTCCAGCCCCATAGATTTATTTATTTATTTATTATGTATACAGTGTTCTGCCTGCAAGTTTGCCTGCAAGGCAGAAGAGGGCACCAGATCTCTTTATCGATGGTTGTGAGGCAACATGGGCTTGCTGGGGATTGAACTCAGGACCTGTGCAAATACAGCCAGTGTTCTTAATCTCTGAGCCATCTCTCCAGCCCCCTAAAGTAAATCATTTAAGAAAAAAGAATTTAGAACAGCCCGAAAAAAAAAAAGTAAAAAAGAATTTATTGCTTGGTGTTGGTGGCACATTCCTTTACACCCATTACTCAAGAAGCAGGCAGATCTCTGCGAGTTCGAGGCCAGTGTGGTCTATAGAGTGAGTTCCAGGAGAAACCCTGTCTGGGAAAACCATAAAATTAGGGGTTGGGGCTGGCGAGTTGGCAAGTGTTTTTGCAACAGACTGAGGTTGGATTTCCAGCACTGTCACGCAATTTCACCCTGTCTATAATTCTAGTTCTGGGCAGCCTGATGCCCCCCTCTGGCCTTCTTGGGCACATAATTTACATAAATTTATGTAGGCAAAACACTAATGCCCATGAAATAATAAAAACAGGAATTTGGGGATTGGCTTCAATTTCTTTTGGCGGAGGGGTTTGCTGTCTGGTGTGTTATAGTCACAATCTGCTTTCGTTTTAGTGTGCTTTTCCCATTAGTTTTTGTTTGGCTCTCAAAATAATCTTGTACTTTGGGGTATTCATTTTTTTATTTTTTTTTTACGACTCTAGAGGATAGTCGAAAATGAGAAGATTAATGCAGAAAAATCATCAAAACAGAAGGTGGATCTACAGTCTTTGCCAACCCGTGCCTACCTGGATCAGACAGTCGTGCCTATCTTATTACAGGGTCTTGCTGTGCTTGCAAAGGAAAGGTGAGTTAATACTGTCTGACAGGAGATAGAATGTGGGGTTCCTGTGCCCCAATACCGCTAGTTATGTATGCTGGTTCTTTGCTATAGTGTTTATGTGCAGTGATGTCATGCGTATTTTATTTTAGAATACATTTATATATGGTGTGTGTTTTGTGGTAGACAAATTTTGGGAGTCCTGTTCTTTTACCATGTGGATCTTGAGGATTGAACTCAGGTCATCAGACTTAGTATCAAGCACCTTTACTTGCTGAATCATCTTACTGGCCCTATTGCTGTTAAACTTTATTTTATTTACTTATTTTTTCTTGTTTGTTTGTTTGTTTCTTTTTTTTTTTCCCCCAAGATGGGGTTTCTCTGTGTAACCTTGGCTGTCCTGTAACTTGCTCTGTAAACCAGGCTGACCTCCAACTCAGATTACCTCCCCAAAACTTTGATTTTTAAAAAATGATTTATTTATTAATTTTATGTGTGTGGGTATTTTATATGGGTGTATGTCTGTGCACCATGTGAGCCAGAAGAGGGTATTGCATGGAGATTGGAATTACACAGATGATTTGTGAGTCACATGTGGGTGGATGCTGGGATTTGAACTTGTGTATACAGACTTGGAAACTTAGGCTGCAGGTAATATAAAGTTTTTACCTAACTTTATAACATTGTTCTAGGTTGTCTTCATTGACACACATATATATCTCACAGATCCGCCTGCCTCTGCCTCCAGAGTGCTGGGGTTAAAGGCGTGTGCCACCACTGCCCAGCTAATACTTAAAATTACAAAAATACCACAGTAACTTAGCCACTTTACCATTGTTCTTTTTTTGACAGGTAGCCTAGGCTGACTTTGAACTCACTATGTAGCCAAGGATGTCCTTGAACTTTCAATCCAGTGCTTGGGTTGTGGGAAGTATGATACCACATTTCCAAATCTTGTTTTTGTGGTTTTTGGGATTGAGTCTAAGGCGTGATTACTCTGCCTGCTATAATATATATATATGTATATGTATATATGTATATTATATATATTCCTGTTTTGTTTTTTTTTTCTTTTTTTCCTTTTTGATACAGTCTCGAAAAGCTCAGGCTGATCTTGAACTCTGATCTGATCCTTTTGCTTCTTAACGCCTAACTGCTAGGTTTGCAGTTAGGTTTCACCCAGATCCATTGTCCATTTTCCTTTGTTATTAGAGCTTATCTATTTGAAACCTTTTTGCCTGTGCTTGCTTATTGTTTTTATGACAAATTTATCAAGAATTGATTTTCTAGTTTTATGGAGTTTGACTTTATACAGTATTTGACATATTGTGGTATTTGCTGTAATTTGTATTTCTGTCCAGTAATTTGTTCCTTAAGTTTTTTCCTGGTGTCACTGTTGTCTCAAGTATAGGATTATTATAGTCTCCTTGGTTGTGGCTAGACTTCAAACTGAGGACCCTGCTCATGATAGGCAAGCACTCTGCTATCAGGCTACGTTCCCAGCTGGTTGCAAAGGACTCTTTTTGCCAGTACACTTGCTCATCAGCAGTAACTTCTCCCTTCGGGAGCTGTTCTCTTATTTCTACATGCATCACTATAATCCTCACAGAAATTCTTTTTTTGTGTTTTGTTTTATTTATTTTTATTTTTTAGCAGTCCATCGCCTTAACCACTTTGCCACCTTGTCCCTATTTTTATTTTCGTTTTTTAATTTAATTTAATTTTGGTTTTTTGAGACAGGGTTTCTCTGTAGCTTTGGAGCCTGTCCTGGCCCTGTAGACCAGGCTGTCCTTGAACTGCCTGCCTCTGCCTCTGCCTCTCTTGTGCTGGGATTAAAGGCGTGTGCCACCACTGCCTGGCCTCCCTGTTTTTATTTTTTAATATGTGTGTTTTCACCTGCATGTGTGTGTGTGTGTGTGTGATTGTTTGTGCGTGTGTGCACCACATGGGTGTCGGGTGTTCACAGAGGCCAGAAGACGGCATGGGATCTCTTGGAATTGGAGTTACCCTGGTTGCTAGGCAACAGTAGATGCTAGGAATTGAACCTCGGTTCTCTGAAAGAGCAGCCAGTATCCTTAACCACTCATCTTTGTGTCATCTCTCTAGCCCATCTTTTTTTCCCCAAGGAGGGTCATATGTAACTCATGCTACTTTGGATTAGTTATGTAGCTCAGGAAGGCTATGGACTCATTTGCATAGTCTGTGTCCCAAGTACTGGAATTACAGATGTGAGCCATCATACTCAGCTTCTAATTTCTTTTTTGTGTAAACAAATAAGGAAATTTGTTTTGTAAACTAGTTAGTTTCTATTAGGTGTGTGCTGTGTTTTAACTCTAGGGCAGTAATAATTGCTGCAGTAAATGGAGGTAAGTTAGTAACATAGATTAAATTTTGTTATATTTTAGCTGTGTGTGCATATGCATGTGTGTATGCCTGAGTGTAAGTGTGGAGGTCAGAGGACAACTTTGAGGAGTTGGTTTTTCTCTTTTTACACATGGGTTCTGAGGTTGTCAGGCTTGGTGGCAGGGGGTCTTACCTGATAAGCCATCCTGATGGCCAAGATTGATACATTAGTTTATTTAAAAGTTGTGTCCTGGTTGTGGTGGCACACACCTTCAGTCCCATCACACAGGCAGAGACTGGCAGGTCTCTAGATGGTTGAGGTTCGGGCCAGTCAGGGAAATGTTGTGAGATACTGTCTTTAAGAACAAGAATGGGCTGGCGAGATGACTTGACACTCACTGCTCTTGCAGAGGACCTGTGTTTGTTTCTTAACACCTACGTGGAGGCCCCCAGCCATCTGTCACTCCGGATCCAGGGCATCTGACGCCCTCTTCTGGCCTCTGTGAGCATAAACATACATGTAGGCAAAACACCTATACATGCTTAAAAGAAACACACACACACATGCACACACACACATGTACACACTGTCCATTAGAGCATGTGCTTGGAATACATAAGGCTGTTACTGACTAAGTGAATACAATAAATACTTGTCTTTTGCTTTTGCTTGGTTATTTATAAGATAAGATTTACTTATGACGGAATATATCTTGACTCTGCTGTTGATGACTGGATTGTGGCTGGGCTGGAGTAAGAGCTTAGTGGTAGAGTGTTGCCCTGGTGTGCCTGAGGTCCCAGGTTCAGTCCCCAACACCATCCCAAAAAGGTAATCTTTTACTTTTTCATTTTTTTTCCAAAGAAGGCTGGTATGTTAGAAATTCCATTTAATCTAAATTTTAAATCACTATTATTGTTTTATTGGGACAGGGCCTCAAGTAGCCTAAATTGGTTTCAAATTTCCTTTGTAACTTTGATGACCTTGAACTGATCGTCCTCTGTGTCCTGACCTCTGCCCATTGCTAGGATTATAGGTGTGCACAACCGTGCCTGATTAAAATTCTAAATACTACTATTAAATGCTAAAAGAAAAAACTAGGATGATTTTTAACTAATAATAGGTTTTTAAATAGAATTCTTAGGCAAAGAGTTTTTGTAAAATCAGTCATTAGGTTAACCTAATTATTTGGTGAAAGTGGGTCTGTAGGCAGCTCAGATTTTGCTGGTAAGGTGTGTTGGTGTAGCAGTTGGGTGACTGAGGCAAGAGAACTGTTAGTTCCTGGTGGACTGGTTTATGTAACTTTCTCAAGAAATAGAAAAGAAGGGGTTAGAGCTCAGTGGTAGAATGCTTGCTTACCTTGGATGCTGTTTAAAATGCAAAAGGAAATTATTTGTTTTATTTTTTGAGACAGGGTCTCTTTACATAGCCCTGACTGTCCGGAAACTTACAGAGCTCCTCCTATCTTTCTAGTGGGGGCAACCTAGGCATGGGGTGATGCACTGAGGAGGCTGAGGCAGGAGGATCTCCTAGTTTGAGGCCAGCTTGGTTTACAGAGCGAGTTCCAAGACAGCCAGAATCTACTCTGTCCCAAAAGCCAAACAAAAAGGCAAAACCTGGAGAGATGGCTTAGTAGTTAAGTGCACCAGCTGCCCTTCCAGAGGTCCTGAGTTCCATTCTCAGCAACCACATGGCATTGTACTACCATCTATAGTGGTATCTGGTGCCCTCTTCCTCCTGCAGTCAGACTGATCATACATATACATATATATTATATATTACATAAATAAATCAATTTTTTAAAAATAGGGCTTCTGTGTGTAGCCCTAGCTGTCCTTGAACTTAATCTGTAGACCAGACTGGCCTTGAACTCAGAGATCCCTCTGACTCTGCCTCCCCATGCTGGGATTAAAGCTGTGCTCTACCACCTGACTGATTTCCTTCCCCCAACATAAAAAAAGGACATGTGCCACACATTCCCCTTGCACAGGGAAATTTTTTTTCTTTCTTTTTTTTTTTTTTTTTCCCGAGACAGGGTTTCTCTGTGCAACAGTCCTGGCTGTTTTAGAACTAATTATGGTAACTCCGTTTTTTGTATGTTCACTTGCTTGCCTTCCTTTTTCTTCCGCACCCTGCCTTTTGGAGTAGGATTTATGGTAAATGTGGAGTTATTTGAATTTATAAGTGGTTTTCTCAGGTGTGAATTGGTTGTTGTAGCATCATAAATATTAATTTAAAAAATTTGGGCTAGCAAGATAGTGAGTAAAGAGCCTTGCCACCAAGCCTGATGCCTTGAGTTCTATTCCCCAGGACCCACATAGCAGAGAGACTTGCTGTCTTTCACACAAGTGCCATGCCCCCCACAAAATATATAATAAACGATATGGAGGAAAATTGAAATGTCTCTTTAAAAAGAAGCAGGTTGTCTAAATGAATGTTAATCATTGGACCTTCAGTCATCTGTGAGTTCATCTGGGTGCTAATGTTGCTAATGGCATGTCCCTTATTGTTTTTTTTTTTTTTTTAACTGAAGGATAATACTTCAGAAACTACACATACTGTAGGCATACAGCTTGAGTTTGTTTTGCTTGAGGCGCGGTTTCTCTGTATAGCTTTGCACCTGTCTTGGAACTCATGAGGGCTGGCCTCAAACTCCCAGTGATCTGCCTCTAGGATTAAAAACATGTACCACCACTGCCCGGTTTGCTTTTGTTTTTTTAAAAAAGGTTCTCACTGTGTAGCTTTGACTGGCCTGGAACTGGCTATGTAGACTAGGCTAGCCTCTGTCCCCAGAGTGCTGGACCATCTTGAAACTAAACACCTATGCTATATACACTAAGGTCATGAAGCTGAACACTACTTCTGTAAAGGCATTTGCTGAGCAGAGCAAACCTAACCAGTTACCTGATTTCAGTATCCAGAACTCACATGAGGGTGTTGGGAGAGAACCGGCTCCCAGTTGTCTTTTGACCTCCACATGGGTGAGACATCTGTTCCCACCATGCATACATGCAATAATAATAAATAAAGATTAAACAAGATGTGTTTTTTTTTATTTTTATTTTTTTCCCCATGTGTTTTAGAATTGAGTTTGTATTGGTTTTAACTATAAAACAATTTAAGTCCTTTTAAATATTGGCTGCTTAGTTTGCCTGTCTCATTTACCATATTATTACAGATAACCTTTAATTGGAAATGAAACATCCATTTTAAAAAATGGTGTAGCCAGGCAGTGGTGGTGCACACCTTTAATCCCAGCACTTGGGAGGCAGAGACAGGCAGATCTCTGAGTTCGAGGCCAGCCTGGTCTACAGAGTTCTGGGACAGGCTCCAAAGCCCCCTAGAATCCCCCTCTCTCCTGCCTTGAAACCCCCCTCCCCCACCTTGAAAAACCAAAACAAACAAACAAATAAATTAACGTATGTGCAGAATATCTAACCTTTGCATTTCTTTTCCCTTACAGACCACCAAATCCCATTGAGTTTCTAGCATCTTATCTTTTAAAAAACAAGGCACAGTTTGAAGACCGAAATTGATTACTTGGGAAGAAAAGAAACATTTGGTTGCTACTGTAGATTTACATGATTACGAGGCAGCTTTAATTGCCATGATTCCCCTCCCCACTCTGGAACCTTCCGGACCACAGAACTCACTTCTGGAGTTGCAGAAGAGAGCAGCATATCCTCTGTCTGATTTAATCACCATACTTATTTAATGAGTATCATCTGTGCAATTTTTTTCTCAGATGGTCTTTTACTTTGTTTTTAAAAAGACCTTCAAAATAAACTGTTAAAACACCATTACTTTATAGTTTTTAATGTTTGTTTTCATGAACTGCTTGTAGTTTTGAGTGTGATACTTTGTAGTTATCATATAATAGCCACCACATTTGCAATATTTTATTTAAATGGCCTCTGGAATTGAACTCTGTAGAGGAGCTTTTTTCTACTTTGCAGAGAAGCAGGGGAGGTTGCCTGCTTAAGACAACACTGCTGGTAAGTGCTTACACGGGCATTCAGTGCAGTCCCACCAGTGTTCTCATAGCTAAGCAACAAGTACTTCAGCTCCTTAGTTTTGTTGCATCTCTGCAAAACAATAGGGGGCTGAAGAGGTGACATCTTAGGGTATTTGTTGCTCTTTCAGAGGACCCAGATTTGATTCCTGGCACCCACGCAGTGGATCACAACGGTCTAACTCCAGTTTCAGGGATCTGACCCCCTCTTCTGACAAGGCACACACAAGATGTACTTACATACATTCAGGAAAACATTTATACATATAAATTTAAAAAGAAATACGTAGTATTTTTGTATTTTGCGTGTATTTCTATTGTCCCCCATGAAGAAATTGAGATAAAGTAGTGTGATGAAAGCTAGGGGCCACAATTCACTAGAACTCTTGTTCTCAAATGGTAGGCAAGTTTCCCCCTTCGGTTATGTATGGGCAATGAGTGAGGTGGGATTCTGCTGACAGGGTAGAGCCCAGGATATTATGTATCTCAGAAGGTACAGGACAGTCCATGTACCCATCTCTTCCTCTTAGTCACCCAGTTCAAACTAAGAGTGGTATTAAAGTTGAGAAGCCCTGCACTGGAAGCATATTAATCTTGTCATTAGGTTAAGAGTCTGTGCAAAGGTGATGTTAATCAGATGCCTCCTGTAATTCCCCTTAATGGCCATGCACTGTGGTACATACTTTTAATCCCAACACTGGGAGGCAGAGGCAGGTGGATCTTAAGAGTTCAAGGCCAATTAGAGCTACATTAACAGTTTATTCATTGTTTTCTTTTTGAGGTAAGGTCTCTACATAGTTTTGGCTGTCCTGGAACTCAGATCCTTCTGCTTCTGCTTCCGGAGTGCTGGGATTAAAAAATTTAATTATGACAGGTGGTGGCTGCTCATGCTTTTAATCTAGCACTTAGGAGGCAGACACAGGTCGATCTCTGTGAGTTCGAGGCCAGCCTGGAAGTGAGTTCCAGGACAAGGCTCCAAAGCTACACAGAGAAATCCTGTCCCGAAAAACCAAAAAAGTGTATAGGGGTATATTGGGAGATTCTGTCCCCAAAACAGTTGTGGCATCTGGCTGCCCATCTCTCCCTCCAAAGAGAACAGCCATGTTTACACTGGGTGTTCCATCTAGGCCAGTCAGGGCTACAAAGTGAAGCATTCTGGAGATCTTTAAAAACAGATTTAATTTGTGTGGGGGTATGTGCATGTAATTGTAGGTGCCTATGGAGGCCAGAAGAAAGCGTCAAGCCCCCTGGAACTGGACTAAGGGATGTTTGGGAGCTGTCCAATGTCTGCGCCGTGAGCCAATTTAGGTCCTCTGCAAGAGCTGCACGTGTTTTAACCTTGGAACCATTTCTTCAGCCCAAGAACTTATATTTTATTCGTCAGTGTGGTCTTTGCTACGTTTGCTAAGTAATACAAGCTCTTGGGAGAAAGAAGCAATCTACCCTTTTTCTTGTCATTGAAATTTATCACAGAGCTTTCCTCATGACAACACTTGAGAACCTGGCGAAAAAACCCAACCAATAAAAGTCTATTCTTAGGGTATTAACTAACACCGTATTTGGGTATTGAGCAGCTAGTTTCATGCGAAACTATGATATACCCGTTGTATGATTTTGATCCCAAATACTTTCTGGGAAATGGGCAACTGTTACACTTCCTAGTTTGGAAATCCTCCACTTCAAAGCCAAACCCACTATTTTTGTGATTCTACCCAACTTGTAAAGGGATTTTTGCTGCCGACCCATACGTGGAACACTGGGATTTAATAAGTTAAGGGTGACATTGTAGTATGCCTTACCCGAGTGTCAACACCCCGCCCCCGCTCCATTCTACCCAGTAGGAAATAACTGAGACGATCTTTGCCACACTGCAGTTACAGCTAAGATACAATTAGTACATATAACTCTGTCAAAGGCACTATTAGGTGGTAGGGACGAGCCTGGGAAGCGAAGGCTGCATTTTCACAGCTCCCCTACTCCCCCAGGGCCCGCTTCGCCGCACTCCGGTTTCTACAAATGAAACTTCTCGGCGCGGCCCCAGACTTGCATTCCTGGGCGACACCCCGAGGATGGGAATCCACCAAGGACGCCGTGGCAGGGGGAACCCCAACCGGACTGGGCGGGCAGCAATCGCGCGCGTGTGTGTGCTGAGCCGGCGGCGCGCGGGGACAAGTCAGGCGAC